GGCCAGTCAATCCTAGGATTGGTGGCACCAAGCCATTGCATAGAGAAGACAAGGTCAAAGGGAATGTTAGGAAACACGCAGAAATTGAGGCGTTGACTGATTTCTCCCTGCTATCAAAGGACACAGGTAAGCCTTTGACAGTAGTCTGGCTCAGTGCCTGGCTGATTTTTTCCTCAGTGCCTGGCTGATTTTTTCCTGTCTTTGCAGAAAAGGAAGAAGCACAAGTCAGGCTCCCAGGATAAAGGGTGGAAGTAGGATGAGTTCTGACTTGCGCTTCTTCCTTTTCTGCAAAGACAGGAAAAAATCAGCCAGGCACTGAGCATCATCCTCCTCCCACGTCTCATCCAACTCAGAGTTTTCAAAAGTCAAAGACCATGAAGATGCAACTCCGGAAATAGAACCAGCGAGAGAATGTGAAGATTCACCCTCATCAGAAAGTGAATGCACTAGTGGAAGGAGTTGTTGCTTCCACCTCTCTCTGCTCTAGTTTTTTGAACGAAAACTGTCTGTAGACCTGCGAGGCATGCTGGGACAATCCTTTAAGAAATGGTCCCCCTCGCATCTCAGGCAGACACCCTTGTCCTTTCTCTTCCTCCATACCCCCTCCTGGATCCTGAGTGCATGTCAGGGGAAGGTGGAAGGATCAAGGGGTTCAGCTGGCCAGCAGACGTCACGTGGAAGGGGTACTCTCTGGGCACTTGGGAAGAGGCACGTCCCTTACCTTTCCCCTTGCTGTTGGTTGGTGCTTTCTGGGTTGGGGCCTTACCCTTAGTTAAGCCCATCAAAGCATCGGCCAGGGCAAGAACAACAAAATCTGCAGCAGATGATGAGGCAGTCCCAGGTGGAGGAGTCCCACCATGGGATGTTGTATCACTATCTGAACCTGAAGCTGCAGCAGCAAGCAGGGCACCCTTCCTCCTTCGCCCCTTTGAGGAGGGTCCCTTCCTTCCTTCAGAAGGTGCTTCCTGGACATGGAGTTTAGACTCCAAGTCCAGGGATGCTCTGCCAAAGGACCGCCAGCCCTTATGGCCCTGAGAAAACAAGGCTAGCTGAAATTGCTCAGGCGCTGCCCTGAGGAAATGAATGAGCAAATCGTGCTCACTCATCTCCAACCCAGGAGTCAATGTGAGACTCTCAAACGTGGAATACAGTTTGGACAAGGAACCATCAAACTTTTTATGGCCTGGATGCAGAATTTTGTCTGCTTCTTTTCTGGCCAGCTCCTTGTCTGCAAATCGGTCCTGCAGTGCCTGCAGAAATCCAGCCTCCCTCAGCCTCTGCGCCCAATCAGACATTTCCATCCCCTGCTTGCTGGAGGTAGAGGTGCACCATTTTAGTGGTCCTCGCCAAGCGAGCCAAGATGGCACTCACCTTCACATCCTCATCACACTTGTTCGTTGTGCAGTTACCCAATCTCCAACATCCACCTTCGGGTTCTTTACCAGAGAACATAGGTGGAGGGGTCAACTTGGGCCGTTGCATGTCAAAAGGAGCTCAGGGATGTGAGGCGGCGGTTGACTTGGGTGTAGAGGGAGGAGATGTATGTGTGGATTGTGGGGGTGAGGAAGGTTTCCCTTGAGAGGGTCCAGAAGATGGGGATAGGTCAGGGTGGTAGGGATCTTCAATCGTGTAAAGATGAGATCCAGTTTGGAAGAGATGTCATCCAGCTTCTTTGAAAAAGTTGAGTGGCTACTCTCCAGACTGGTAATCCTGTCGTCTCGGTTAGTAAAATAAGAACGGTGAATATCCTCTTGCAGGAGGTCCTGCAGGAGGATGAATTCAGCCATGTCCTTGTTGTACTGACTGGAACTACCACTTGTCCTGATCTTTTCCACACCTGCAATCAGCAACTTTCTCCTGACCTCCTTCTGAGTTGCTTCTTCTTTCTTCTTCAGCTCAGCCTTTAGGGACTCAACTGCCTGGGCCTGCTAGCGGAGTTTTTCCTCCCGGGCCCGCAGTTCAGCCTCTAAAGGGTCGAGCGGAATTTGAGGCTTCACCTCAGAAGCCTCTCCCTTCCCAGTCTTTGCCATCACCACAATTCAGATAAATAAAAATAAAAATAAATAGAAGATAAACAGGAGGCAATAAGAATTGAGTTTTCCTTTCAATACTTACTCAATTGCTATCACCTGCCTGAAGAGAGGAAGTTGATTAGTTGGAGCAAGTGAATGCTCAGTCTCTGCAAACCACTTGAGGGTCAGGGTCAGTTAAGAGTAAACTCAGCAAAGAACAATTTCACGATTTTCCAATCCCTGCCCTAACACAACAATTGCATGCAATACTTGCAATCCTGCACCAATAAATTGCAGGATGTAGTCGTGGACTGATTAGCAGTGATTATAATTTAGACAGAGTGACTAATTAGTGATAAGCAGGGGTCCACTGATGACCAAGGTGGAGCGATTTACAGGGGATCCTATTTTTAGACCTACCCCACAACCTTGGGTATGGCGAATTACAGTAATCACTATAACTGACTCAGAACATCAAATTACACTGTGTTATTTCAGACACTGACTGTATACTGAATTGCGATTTACCAGGGACTGATAGGATTGAATTCTGACGGACAGAATTGACGTTATGACCGACCCTAGTCTAGCCAAGCTTCCACTATGGCAGCGCAAAATTCAATTCTGCATTATAAATGACAATAGGACCCTGAACACACCAATTCACTACGTAGTATGAATCACAATGCTGTAAAGAAGTCACATATGAAATTTGAGTCAGAACGGAGGTCAAACAGGGTTAGTAGAAGTCAAAGGTGAGAGGTAGGGGAAATTGGATATGGCTCTCCCACAGTTTGAACATCAATTTTCAATTGTCAACACCCTGACAGACCATATTTCGCTATTCTAAAAATAGACCCAGAATCGCCACTCAGGGTAGAGTAAGGAACACACTTACTTCAGGGTCAACTCTGAAGAAGATGAGTGAAACTTGAGCTATGGTTGACTGGTCAACCCTATCTCGCCAGTTTCATTTCCTGTTGATTCCAGTGTTCCCACATACCAAACGCCCTGAAACTTGGTGATCCAGCAGATTACACTGAAGCGCTTCACCCCCAACTGACAGATTCAATGATTTCGGACTCCTAGGTGCAGATAACTGACAAGCTCAGTGCAGCGCCACAACAACCCTGAAGATGATGAATCACCATGAGACTCAACTCCAGTATCTCGCCAGATGATGATGGTTGCTCCAACTCATCAATCGCTCCAGAGTCTAGATCCAATCGCTCTAATACCATCTGTTATGATTCTGGTTGTCTGTTGTCTGAAGACCAACACTCACTCACATAGACTTCCAGGTATGCCCATACATACACAGAAGGAAGGGGAGAGGATAAGAGTATCACACCGCGCTAGGAGAGATAAACACAGCGGAAGACTTGACCATGGGATATGACAGGGTACACTGAAAGTGCCATTCACTCCACTCAGTCCTCACAATCAGTCATAAAGGAAAGCCGAGTAGATCACATCCAAGAAACAATGAAGCAAGGATAGTCTGAACCCAGTGTCAACACTATTTATCATACTCAGAGTCTCGAATTGTCAGAATAACTTCAGAACTATGATGCGCTGCTCAGAGATGAGCAGCGCCTCACTCCCCAACCCAAATGAACCGCTATCACTACCCCTGAGTCCCTGAAACATCAAGCGCCACCCAGATACAGCCTCCGAAGGGAAGCACCACCTTGAAACAGGCCTCTAAGGCCAAGCGCCACTCAGAGGATGAAGAAGAAGACCAGCGCCACAGTATCTGATGATGACGAAGTGTCGAAAGACTTCCCGGGTGGAAGTCTGCAGCAGCGCCACCACTCCTGACAAGATGACCTCTGAGGAAGAAGCTGCAGCTATGGCTGCAGTGCCACTACCCTGGAACCCCACTCTGGAGGAGGGTCCAGCAGGGCACCAACTTCCTGCGTGCTGACAGAGTACAGTGCAGGTCCCAGTTATGGCCGGTGCTCATAAGGTCTGGCTATGTCTGTCTCCCTCAACGCTGAGCCGTCACCACTTCCAGTTCACGCGTTCCACAGCAGCGATGTACTCGGTACCAACTGCCAAAAGCCCTGAACCGATGTGCCCATCCTATCTATAGTCTAAACTAGCCTAGACTCGACCTAGACCGGATTGACTGGACTGAC